AGCGCACATTTCTGTGCTTCTGCGGCCGCACAATTATAGTGCGGTCCGCACTCCTTGAACTTGAGCTCTAGCTTTTGCGGGGACTTCTGTGGACCGCACAATTCTGAGTGCCACCGCGCTCTTGGTTATGCGGCCGCAAAAAAATGGTGCGGTCCGCATTCCTTCTTGATTCTAAAATCCTATCTCTCTGATCCTTGCCTTCTGCGGACCGCATAATTGTGAGTGCGGCCGCACAATTGTGGTGCGGTCCGCACTGTAAGTCTTTTTGCCTTGTTTTGGTTATTGTCCACTTTTGACTCCTTTATGAGTTGATATTGACTTCTTTGGCTCGTTTCCCAATATTCCTGCACGAAAGCACATTTCCTTAGTTCTCGGGACTACCTTCAAGCATTTTTTGAGCAAAAACACAAGTAAAAGAGAGCAAATAAGCAACCAAAATCCCTACTTATCAGTGCCTAATTCATATGCCTACGTACAATAAGCAAATATGCTATAAGTGAATTGTTTGATTTACATAAGGTAAAATTTTTATTTGATTTTAGTCTTAAATATTAGTACTTCCTATTTAGTTTAATAAGGAAAGATTCAATGATCAAAATTCTAGTTAATTTTAAGGCCTTAAATATTAGCAAATTAATTTAAATTATAATTTTAATTATTGTGAAATCTATTTTAAGGAGTAAAAAAAAAAACGAATGATGATATAGATAGGTTTTGTATTTTTAATATAATATAAATATAGACAAATAGATAAACAATCAAACAAAATAATGATTGTGAACTGGCTCTCTTGACCTGTATGCAGATTGTCTGCAAGTGAGCTTCACAAGGAGGATTTCTAGCAGAGGCGGAGCTAGGATTTCAATTTTATGGGTTCGGAATTTTAATCCTTTTAAGTTAATAAGTTCTAAATTATATTAATTTATACATATCCAATAAATTTTTAAAGATAAATACAAGATTTGAATTAAAGCTACTGTGTTAGGCTGAACTCGCTCCCGATACTCTAGCGGGGGGGGGCTGATTTCTACTTTACCCTTGAATGCTTGACAGACATAACTCTTGAATGCTAAGTCTCAATATTTTACTTATACCATACAGAAGTAGAAACCAATTAACCCGAAAACACTCACCAAACCTTATTGTATATCCTTGTTGGTTGCTTTGTCTAGAGGTCTGTACTTCTCAGCTCATTCTATTTTTTATGTAGATACGTATGTTCAACAAATTATCCGACAAAAGGAATCAACCCTTAATCTGATTTAGAAATATCTTATTGGATGCTTAGAAATTAATTAACAAACCAATAGATTAATGTTTCTTTTATTGCCATTTTTCTCACGATTTTGGAGATTTTTTAAATGATGGAAGTGCTGGCATCATGACTTTCTTGAACTGTCATCTTCGACACGTAACACATGTCAAAAACCAAGTTTAATTAATTAGAAAAAATTGTAGTAATAATAATGTTACTTCCAATATAATGACTGTAACTAGAAATTAAGATCGTGTTCAAACGTAAGTCAACTGACAATCTCACGACATTATCATCATGGTAATTGAGTGATATTTTGTCCTTAAGCTAACTATTTAAGTTAATACACCGATCAATATAATTTAACGCGTTTATTTAATAGTAATTTACAGTTTTTTCAGATTTCCACTAAATAATAACAACAAATGGTTACGTATGTAATTGCATTTTAAGTGATTTAATTGTAAAAATAATTTTTATAAATGAGTTAAGATAATACAAGTCTAATGAAGAATAACCAAGCTTTTTCTTGTTCAAAGCTAAGGAACTAGCCACAGTTGTTTGGTAAATCCATTAAAGTAACTTTATCAAAGATTTTAAAGGGGACATAAACAAGTCATAACCTGATTTATTCAAACATTTTTTCATGCCAGACAAATTGTGTTTTGCTTTAATACTTTATTTGATAAAGCAGGTTTAAGTTACGTTCAAACACATTAAATCTTGAATTAGCAATCAATCCTTTAATTAGTAATGATGTCATTTTCCAACTATAAAAAAAGGGGGAAAAGATTGAAGGATATATCTTGTTTTACTTTAGTGTTCAATTTACCATTATTGCAAATGGAAAATCTTTTACTTTTTCTTGGTAAACAAAGGGCTGCGTGTTGGCTCAATAGCTCCATCAAGTATTCATAAAAGAAGGAAATGTGGGACAGTTAGAGTCGGAACCATGATTTTGATTCAGAGGCGGATTCAGAATTTTAAATTTATATGTTTTATAACAATTTTAAGTTAATTCACATGATAACTTGACCAACGAATTGGGTTTCTAGCTAGCTAATATAATCTTATATTTTTAATGAATTTTTAGTATAAATATAGGGACTATGCAAAAGTTACTGGATTCACGGGAACCCGTAACATTTGCACTAGATCTGCCCCGGCCGGTTTTGACTTTATGGGTTTTGTTTAGAATAACGACTTCAAGTGCTAATAGAAAGGTACTATATTTCATACTTATACATGTTTAATGAATCTTTTAACACTAATATATTGTTTGAGCAAAAGTTACTGGGTTCGGCTGAAACCGTCAACAGGAAATAGCTCCGTCCCCAGGACAGTGGGATGAAATAGAGATCATTGATGAAACTTCTTTGTACTCTAGACTCCTACGGTATTTTTAAAGCTAAAGAAAAGAAGAGGGGAGAAAACGTATTTATCATAAATTCAATTTGTAGTCTGAAGACTGTAGAAAAATAGTAAAATGAATTTTCTTAATTAGGATGTCACAAAAGTATAAGACATCAGATTTCACTATACGTTGCATTGTCGGACAGATTACTAGGAAATCGTACGTTGTTAATCGTTATTCAAAAATAATAATTAAGGTACATGTAAAGAGTACATAGAAACGAAGTGCACGCACATGTATTTATTAATTAAACGTGAATAATTACTCGTCTTTTACACGCTTTTGGATACCTAAACGAAGAATTTTTATTTTGTAATAACATTTAAACTAAAAATTTAACCTCAGTACGTAGAAAAATTACACTATCAGGTAACCTAAAACATAACTACAATCAATTACGCTCTTCTCTTTGTTGTTTCTACATCACCTACCTTATTTAATATCGATAATCGCTTTAATTACTACAAGAGTTCGTTAATACTTAAGTAAACAATATATTAGAGCTTGCTACCTAATTAAAAATGGAGTTGCCATTTGCTTTTGTCCCATTAATTAAAGTTTTTCGTAATCAACGTTAAGCTTATCGGGGATATTAAAGATGTTGAAGTAGTTAACAAATAACAAGTACAATGAATCATCATATACTGAACGTATTTTTATACACATGCAACTCGCGGGGCGGCCCGACGAGTTTTGTGGCCTAAAGCTAAACTTTACGAGGGGCCTTAACTTTTTTTTTAAATTTTTTTTTATTTATTTATTTGAAGTCTATTTTTTTAGCGTTTCTTAGATACAATGTTATTAATAATTTTCTTCTAGTCAATAACTCCTTTTTAATTGACTATAGCTAATCCATTTAATCTTTATTGAGACATTGTTGATCTTAGATGAGAGTTTATCAATTTAAATTTTGAAAATTTCTTTCCGCTGAAACGATGGAAACAAGAGTTATTAACATTATTCCATAAGTAATATAGGCATTGGAAAAAGGATCAATTTTTTTTATTTGACCGAGTGAATCAATTAAACTGTTATCTTCAAATTGTACTATTTTCTTAATATTTTTAATTCCGAAAATAAATCTAAATCATTAATATCGAATTGATTATTATGCTTTAAGGAACATTCAAGATTAAGGCAATATTTTTTCAAATTTTCATCATCTAATGATTTTAATTTTTATCGCTAATAGAAAACCAAAAATATTTTCATATGCTTCGAATTGTTCAAATCTATTAAAGTGAAAAAAATAGCCTTGTCTACTAGGTATAAAGTAATCAACTCCAAAAGACTCTTCGAAAGATTTTGAGATTTTATTATCAACATCCTCATCAAATTGTTACTTCCTATATATCATACGTTTCTTACAAAATTCGGGTTCGATATTCATTTCAAGTGCAATTTTGCTAATCCTTCTTCTTTATTCTTGTTAAAGAAAGAAATCAAACTTTTTCACTTCATAGAACCTTTTTTAACTTATACATAGCCTATTAGGTGTAACAAAAAATGGGGCCTCTATAAATGTGAGGCTTAAAGCAGTTGCTTTACTTGCTTCATGAAAGGGCCGCTCCCAGCAACTCATTCACTCTCCCCTTCCTCCACCCCAAACAACATCATATCAGTGGTGGAGTTAGATTTTCACCAAGGGGTATTAATATATATAAAGAAAAAAATGTTAATTACATGAAAAAAGTATATAAAAAATTTTTATGTAACTATACAGTGTAATTTTCGAACGAAGTTTTGTCATTTGACTCCCTTGGTTACATTACATATGGCTCCACCACATCATATATTTCTTGTGTACACAACTAAGTTTAACTTCTATAGAATGATAATTTGAAAGAATATTTATATATCAAATTGTATAAAAGATAATTATAATTATATATATATTTATCATAAGTGAAACTAAAATTTTGAAAATAAGACAAGCAACATGATATAACAAAGTAATTAATTAGTAGTGGTAATAGGAGAAATCACATTTAGGGAAGATTGTTTATGCGAGAAATGGAAGGGAATCCTCGGTAAAATTATTATGGTGCGATCTATATATCATGAGTTCGAGGTTTGAAAATAATTATTACAGACTCTTTTTATAATTCTACGTGAACGTGTGATACTTTATGCATGGTAAGTACGGGAAGAAGAGTGGGACAAGGTAGGGTAGAAACCCGTGAGGGGCCAAAAACATCCTTTTCTGAGCTGTTCATATCACTGCTACTCTTTTTGCCGACCCAACTTCAATGCTGTCCCTTTATCTTTTTTCCCTTTCTCTTTCTCAACCGACACTTATCTCTTCTTCTGCTCTCTTCTCTCTTTCTTTTCAAGCATATATATACACATCTTCAAACTCAACCTAGCAAATACGTACTGGACTAAGAAGAAGCTAGCATTTTATTTACATATAATATAAGCTTATTTTATTGTATATCTCTAGCATATAATTCAAAGTTGGTTTTGTGTTTTTTTTATTATTTATAATATATAGTAGTTTTATGAGATGGAACTTGAGCTTGGTCTTGCACTTCCTTCCTATTTTCCCATCAAATCTTCCGACGACCTAAATGGCAACGTCGACAGTTTTGATGACAACTTCTCAGAAATGAAGAATGACAGCAATTATATCAACCACAAGTCTAACTTTTCAGGGGCTAATTCTGATTATGATGGTAGTGACAAATTAGAACGTAAAACGTTGCCTTTGCTTGCATGGAATGGCCAACCAAATGAAGAAGAAGAAGAAGATGATCACCGAAAGAGGAGAACTTTTGAAGCTTGTTACCCGTAAGTTTAAGGACCCGTTTGTCCATGATTTTATGGATTTTTTTCAAAACGTGTTTGTCCAAGAAAATTTGTAAGTTTTTGGAGTTTTTTTTAAATTAGTTTTTTAAAACCACTTTTTCATGTTTTTTGGAAAAAAGCTTTTTCCTGCCGGTAAGACTACAATATTTTTTTTAAGTGAAATGTATGTTTAAACTTAATTTTAAATTTCAAATATTATTTTTTAACTTATTAACTCCAGAAATTACTTTTTCCAAAATTATATTTTTTATGTCCAAAACACTTACTAACTTACACGTTGTACATTACATTCAGAGTTTAACTTCTACCTGCATAACATGTAATTTTTATAATATCTTGGCATGTACATGTAATTACCACAAAGGATTTGATCAGTAACATGAAAAATAAGATATGTTATCTACTGCACACGTTAAAATACAATAGTAATATAAATTATTTACATAATGTATACAATAGTAGTATATAAAATAATGCATACAGATCACATTCATTCTTTCCTGTGTTTGAATTATATTAAATCCTTAAAAATAACTAGAATAGACTCTCACACGACACTTCGACAATTTTTCTTGTTCATTAATTTTTAGACGATTTCAATTTATTCGCCAAATATAAGAACTTTGACTTATAATATATTTCTTTTTATATCTCATACAGGGAATTCAAGGAAGAAAACGGAGTAGTGGGGTGGCCACCAATTAAATCATGGAGAAAAAAGCAAATTCATGGGATTAACAATGATATTATTGGTCGAAGAAACTCAATGTATGTGAAGGTCAAAATGGAAGGAGTAGCCATTGGAAGGAAAATTAATCTAAGGCTATATAATTCCTATCAAGTCCTTACTAACAGCTTGATTCAAATGTTTGCAAAATGTAAGTTCACTACTCCTATAATAAGAAACTAGCAGTCGTACCTGTGCGATGCGCGATCACTATTAGAAAATATTGATTAAATTAAATGGTGATAGGACTTGTTTGAACATATTAGATACCTATTGCTTTAATAAATTTCAATTGTCACCTTATTTGTCTATATGATATACCTAATAATAAAATTTCTATAAAATTAAAGGGACTTATATAGTTATTGAATAACTTTTTTGTTCTATATTTTTCTTTATTCTATTATCCAATGTTTAGTATTTTTACATTGTTAATAGAAATTTTTATTAGCATATTACTTTATTTAATATTTTTGTATGCTCGCTTTCTTTTTATAATATAAGAGAAGATATATATATATATATATATATATATATATATATATATATATATATGTTAGTCTTGAAATATTTTATTTTAAATTTTATTCAGTTGTTGTCAATAATATTATATGAATTTTAATGAAAAAAATCTCTATTAAATTAAAGGGGATTATATAATCATCACATAACTTTTTTGTTATGTATTTTTTTTATTATATTATCCAATATTTAATATAGTTGCATTGCTAATAGAAATTTTTACTAGCATATTACTTTGTTTAATATTTTTTTCTACTACGTTTTTTTTGTAATATAATAGAAGATATATATTTTATTACTCTTGAAATATTTTTTTATTTTAAAATTTTATTCTAATAGTCTCAATAATATTGTCTGAATTTTTGAAGATATATATTTTTTATTTTTTATTTTATTCTATTATTTTCAATAATATTTTCTGAATAAATAAACTTTTTAATTTTAAAAATAAAAACAAAATTATTAAAAAACAAAGAGATTTTGAATTGACATTTTTTTATTTTTTGTAATGTTACTTTTTTATTTTAAACTAAATTAAAAACTACAACTTGAAACTACTCTCCAATTTGAATGGACAATTTTTTTAATCTTCATTTTCTATTATAAAATATTTTATTTTATTATTAAATTTAAAAATAATAACCAGAAACTAATATTAACTACTTGTACTATGTGACTTTTTTCTATGATGTCACTTGGTTTAAGGAGAAAATGTTTTCCTCTAATTTTAATAATATATAGATATAGATATTGATTGTCCTCTCATTTTTCCTTTTACAAAATAACGATAAGGATTGAATTGACAAGTTTAGTCCTATTATATGCAGCAGATCAGAGTTGTGACGAAAATGGTACGCGCTTTACACTATTGTACCAAGACAGAGAAGGAGATTGGATGCTTGCAGGAGATGTACCATGGCAGTATGTACTTATATTTTCTGTTCTCTTAATTATTTCATTCTTATGTATTATTTTCACTTCATTTGGACCTTAAGAAGATTATTTTAAACTAGTTGAGGTCGGTAATATGAATTATATATTATTTTTCCCTTCATTTGGACCCTAAGAAGACTATCATAATACTATCTTTTAGGTGATTCACTTACCGCCAAACATGGGCGGTGCCACCTTAGGCGAAGGGTGGTCTGGTGCACACCCTTCGTCGAAAAATTATGTGGTATACATAGGATAAATGTCAGCTATTATAAGTATATATTTAGTTTTTGCACACCCTAATTAACACAATTCATGAGACGAGAATTTGCACACCTTCGCCAAAATTTCTAGCTCCGCCACTACCGCCAAACCTGCTAGACATTAGCTGTGCTCACAACGAGCATATATGGAATTGTTATTCTATTTATTTTATTTAAGAACAAGTAAAATAAGTAGAAATTATTTCCAGTATTTACTAAGTCAATATAATTTTTTTTTAATTTTTTTTTTTTGCAGAACATTCATGGAGACTGTTCAAAGAATACAGATACTAAGGAATAGGAAGAGTAAATTCAAGGTCTGATATTTCTTAGCTAGAGTACTGGTTAAAATCATATATTCTGTATACCAAGGTAGTCCTCATTAATTAGCTTGCAATGGTTTTCTAAGGAAAAAAAGATAAGACAACACAATATTCGTTTCAGTTTGCTATTATTGTAGTTTTATATTTATCTTCGTGCGGCTATTGGATGTCAAGATTTATCAGACTTTTCCAGAGCTTATTTTTTTTCTTTTTCTACAAATTAAATAGAGCATGTTCGAGAGCGAGATACCTTTTGAATTTTAGAAATGCTTTATAAATTTTAATATATACGTGCAATTCATTGAACGTTTGGTACTATTATTTTATGAAGCACATTCAGTATGTAGCTTAAATATGAATATCTCGACCAAATTTTTACATTAACTTTCATTTGATATTGGGGCAAATCTTCTTTACATCATCCCGAAAAACTAGGGGCGGAGTTAGCCTCTTGATTGCATGTTTATCCGAACTCACTACTTTAGTTCAAATTATATATTTGTTTTAAGTAATTCATTTAACATATACAAATTACTAACTAACTCATAAACGTTAAGCTCTTACTTCGTCTCATGAAAAAACTGTGATACTTCTCCGCCAACTGACATGATTATATACTTCGGAGTCCGAGAAGCAAAAAGATAGAATAGGGAGACGGTGTACTGCACAGAATTGCTTCAGGAAATTAAGAAGCTAAATTCAAGTCAAGTTACAACATTTCTTTTTTTGGTCTCACAAATTTAGTCTGTATTTCTCAACAATATCTCTTAGGGTATCATCACTTTTAGCCGCGCCAGATATTATTTATATTTGATAGTCAAAAAGATATATAACTTTTTGCTAGTCAAAATATATATATATATATATATATATATATATATATATATATATATTATATGTATATATATATATATATATTATATGTATGTATATATATATATATTATATGTATGTATGTATTTTCAGCTATTATTTTTTTACAGCAGCTATAATCTATATAGTGTCATTTTTCCATATCTCTTCAACTTTAAGCCCAGGGAATAGGGGAGAAATTCAAAAATAGCCAGATTTACCACTGGTCGTTGAAAAATAGCCAAGTTTCAAAAGTCATCGAAATTTAGCCACTTTAAATCTGAGCGAAAATACTGTTCAAAATCCGGAAAAATACGCCCGCAAATTTTACGGGAGTTCCAGGATAACTATGCTGGAACTCCCGCAAATTTTACGGGAGTTCAAGCATAATTATGCTGGAACTCCCGCAAATTTTACGGGAGTTCCAGCAAGTATAATTGTCCAGTATAATATACTGGAGTTTGGAGCACCGGTGCTCCAGTCTCCCGCAAATTTTACAGGAGTTAGCAAAGTATACCGGTCCAGCATAATATGCTGGAGTTCGTACACAAATGCACCAGAACTCTCGTATATTATACTGGACCGGTCCCTGCTGCAGCAAAATAGTGGCTATTTTTCATTGACTTGATAAACGCTGGCTATTTTTCATTGACCAGTGTGAAAACTGGCTATACCATGATATTTTAACAGGGAATAGCTGTGTGGCCCAATTGTAAATTCCTAAAGCCCATTCATGTGCCCCAAATTATAAGAAATGTATATTGTTAGCATTTTCAAAAATAATAGCCGACAATATTATTAAAATTGTTCTACATTTTCACGTTTATGATTAATATAAACATTTAGATCAACCTTAAAAGTTTCAGTCCGAAGATGTTTTGATCCTCAAACTGGAATGTGCATTTGGATTTTTCATTTTAAAACGAAGTCTCAACTATATTAATCTCCTCAAGCCATAAGGCGTAGGGCCTTGTATTCGAATAGAAACATCAATCTTTCATTTAAAGTGGCAACTCTGTCCTCGACTTCCTCTCGGGTAAGATGAAGAACAATGGGTTGGCATATTAATGGTTTATGATCCATTAAGTAGAAATGACACCAGGTAGCCACTTTAAAGGGCTGCTATTTAAGAATTAGCCAGTGTTTCTTGAATTTTAGTTTCCAATTTTCAGTTTAAATTTTCAGGACAAATATATTTTGGATTGTTCTAAAGTTAAGATTTTTAGTTTAAAAATTCAGGACAAAATAAATACTGGTTAATCTCGAAATAGCATCCCTGAGAATGGCTATACGTGCACTTGCAACCCAAAATTATCTTCATAGTCCATTGGGGGGACACACCGCACGTGGAGTGCTGAAGAATGTTTTGAATTTAGGGAAATTATAATAAGTACTCGCAGTGAAGTATAGTATACTTCTATTTTTTAAAGTAAAAACTTTGAAGAGAATGATCTTCCAATTTGTTACATAAAATAGTTAAAGTGTCTTTTGATAAGCCCGACGAACATAATTATATTGAATTGTTATAGTGATGCTTTTCAATACATAATTTTTTATGCGTTGAATTGTTATAGTGAAGTATGCTTAGAATTCATCACAATATAACTAGCTTTATGTTAGTCATTAGACTACCATAATTTTTTTCTTTATTTGTGATTGGATCGAATGAAGAAATTCATGCGAATCGGCTATGTAGCCGAAAGTCATAAGTTTTATTGAATTGGATGGCGTTCGTTAAATCACTTTGATTCAATCATACATCTTGAAATCAGCCTAAGTAATTTCTTTTCTTTTTTTTTTCAATTTATTTTATCTAATTTATATTTAATCTATTTTTCTGGCTTGGCTCGACAATACTGCATCTAAATAGATGTCCATACAAATTTTAAACTTCCTTTGTAAAAGGTATTATTTCCACGCATTGTTTTAAGTAAGAAGAATTACGCAAATCTGACCCCCTTGACGTGTAACATATACGTGTTCGTTTGTAGGTTATGGTATAACTTTGTTGCATAAAGTATGAGAAGAAAAGTGAAAATGTTATAAATAGAATTTTATTTATGGTGAATGTCTATATTTAGAGAGATTCTGGGGTTTATTACTTGGTGGCTAAGTCACTCTCTCCCTATAACTAGAGGGTTCTATTCCATTGTAATTCATCCCAAATCAATAAGAATTCTTTCTCCCTACTTTTCTCTGCAATACTCTTCTTCTTCTTTTATTGTTTCATAACACGTTATCAGCACGAGACTCTAACCAATTGAGTAGAAGCTTTGGGATTGAGCATAATGATTGTCAATTGTTCCATGTACTTTATTCGTGATTAAATTCTGGATTTAAGGTAAGTATTTTACTTTACTTTTCTCGTTTAAATTCTTGACATTCTATAATTTAATTTTATATACAAGCAAAGACAACAAAGTTTGATTATAACTCTAATGGAGTTTGTAAGAAATTATAACCACCTGAAGTGGTAAAATTTCTATGCCTCGCCATGATCAAATTCATGTATGATTGTGGGCAAAGAATTGAAAACTCATCCCATTGAATTTGCTTCATTCTCATTCCCTTAAGAGAATGTGATAGCAGTATGTGATAAGTCTGGAAGAAGACAAAATTATTACTATGAATGTATCAATGGATATGGACGTGGCAATAGACGAAATTATAATCGTCATCATTTGTGGTAATGAGAACAATAAGGATTCTCAAAATAATCTTTCACTCTGTGAAAAATATTTGTCATCGATTTGACATGAGATTTTGTAAAGCACATATAGATGATTATGGTCCATTCATGATGTGAATGTGACAACATCTGATTTATGAATACATATTCATTCTTCAAAGAATATGAACGTGCTAGTGGTAGTGAATATACCGCACTCACCTCTAAAAGGAGGCTTGAGATGATATAAGAAAATAATGTCATTATTATGGCATGAATGGTCATTGGTCACGTACCTATTGTACGTCAAAATATTTTGGCATTGTGATTGTTAAAAGACAACGGTAATGCAAGAAACAGATCTTGCATATAATTTTGACCATAACCATAATGGTATAACTTTCTCTTTAAAAGAGATATTCACCATATGAGTGTTGATGAATATGTGGTACTACAAAACTAATTGAGAACTCTGCAAGAGCCAATTATACTATTTTAGAGAAACACAATTAATTACCAATAAGGTATTGTGTTGTAGTAAGTCTCAAAGAAACTTATTCAGTTTCCAAAGAATACGCGAAAGCGGTTGATTATATTGAGACTATAAATAAAGGAAAGATTTAATATCTTCTATTACTACAACTTGTAGCGGGGTAATATGTATGTGAAAAACTACCCGCTTTATTCTCCAATTTGTACTGCATAAACAAAAGAAAACCACAATGAAGTGGATATTTATTGATATAAAAACTCATATCATAATAAACTTGGAGTTTATTAATAATTGCACACGTCATGGTGTAAATCTGAAGTTTATCAATATTGATAATTTATTCAGTTGGCATAATTGGTTTACCCATATCAATTTAAGTATGATGTGCAAAAATAAAAGAAAATTCACATGGGTAAATATTAAAGAACTAGAAAGTTCTTTACAAATTCTCTTATGTTGGTTGTTCTCATTAATTAATATACCAACTAAAATTGGGATTGAATCCCATGAATGCTGGAAATATCAAAGGTGAATATGGGCCCATTCACCTGCCATGTATACCACATAAGATGCATATATGAGATGGTTACACGTGCGATTATTAATAACCCGCAACATGGTGTTTGCGAGGTAACTTGCTCAATAATTTAATTTCGAGCATAATTTCCAGATTTTCTATTCAAGATAGTTTATCTTGATAAGTTGGTTTACATCACAGTTGGTTTAGCAAAATGATTTATTGAGTGCCTCCACTTAATAGCTAAACTATTGCTTATGAGAACAAAGTTATCTATATCAGTTTGATATAGGTTATATACGAAAGTATATTATTTTCTCCCCTCACAAGTGGTTCAGGGTCAGGAACCAAATAATTCCATCTTATTATTATTGATGTGCGGTGTATATTTTGATTAACACCATAACGCCCAAAGGTGAATTCTCAAAGTTGAGGTAACAAGTTAGTTTTTCTAACATGAGGGGGAGACATGATAAACAGTTGAGAAAAAGTTACGTGGAATGAATTATCATTTGTACATCTAGATCCTCGAATAAGATAATATGAACTTGAAGTTCATAAAAGGATAATTCATTTGCAATATATTACAAAGCATGCCAGTCGCATTTGCTGACCCAAAGAAAGTAACTATATTCTCGTTGCAAATGCTCATGTTAAGTCCCAGAAGGACAAAGTCTATGGTACGCTTGAAGCGTATAGACAAATCGGTTTCAAATAAACTTCTTGATAAAGAAGATGAGCAAATGATCTAAGTGATCATAACAAAGGAGGCAAGT